TAAACTAATTTAAAATTTAAGTTTGGGGGAGGGGAGAAAATTTTTAAAACTAAACCTTATTTGTTCTGAGTAAAATATATTTTAAAAAATTACTTTAATATAACATGTGGTATGTTGAGATAGCTTGAGATAACTATATTTTTGAGTTTATAAATACTACAATAAACTTAAGTAAATTTTTTTAATAATAAGATTAATTCTGGATTTGAAATATTTAGTATAAGAGCATAAATTTTGTTTTTACTATTTAAAATAAAGAAAATTGTATTTTGGGAATGTTAAAGATCTTGAATTTTTATTTGAAAAGAAAGAATTGAGACTTTATGAAAAATCTTTTTTAAGTCTAATACACATTTAATCAAGTAACGAAATTTAAAAAGTTTTTAACTTTAGGAAAAGGATGGCAGAGTTCAAAATCATTAAAGACTATCCAAATATATTAATCCTCACATGACATAAAAAGAAAAAAAAAAGAGAAATGATTAAAAAAGATCCTGAGAAAAAGGAAAAGAAAAATAAAAAGAAAAGAAAGCAAAAAATAAAAATAAATGGAAGAAGCTTGAGGAGATGCCTAATAAAAAATTGGCTTTACTTAAATCATCTTAAGGAAAAAGGACTTAATTACATGTCTAAGCTTATTTATGAAGTATTAGCATCCTTACTAGTAAAGTTCTCATGATATTCTTTTTCATGTAATTTTTCTAAGTATTTTTAATATGACAAATTACAATTATTCTTGAAATAAATAGAAAATCAGAATTCTTAAACTTGGCTACTAAATATTTTTACATTCTAGTTTTAACCTATGTTATTAAAAATCTTTCTAATGTTTCATTAATGCATTTATAAAACAAAAACTATAGAAATCTTCAAGTAAAACTCACTTCCATAAGTGATATATATATATATATATATATATATATATTATGTGATATGAAAGATTTAAGTTGTTTTAATGGAACAAATAAAGCAGGTGTTAGATTGCAAATTCATAGGAATTGGGCGATATTTATGTAAATGCCCCAAAAAAAAATTGTCTGATTTCATCTATAATGGCTGGGTTCAAACTACTTATGGCATCTGAAAGCTGTTGTGATAAATCTCCTTCAGTTATAATTATAGCTTGCAACGCCAGCGGTTGCAGTGGGAAACAGGAAGAAAGATAGCTCCGACAATGCGAGGAGTAAATGTAAATAAGGATTAAGAAGGGATAATCAAGCTATAATGGAGATTAGGAATTACGTTAACAATGATAAGATTGTTTTTTCTGTGTTTAAATCTTACAAAAGGAATTGAGTGCTGTGCATGTAAATGCCCCTATTTGTTTTTATCAATCCGACTAATAAAAATGATCAAGATTAGAACTATATTACTCATAGAAAAACTAACCGATTCCCCAATCAAATTGCTGTTTATGGTCAATTTTGTGCGAAAATGCTTTTGAATTTGAACAGAACCAGACAAATGACAGATTTATGATTGAATCGGCTGGTTCCATATGTTCTTAAAGTGACTAAAAGTGCATCTTCAGATATTCTTCAAGTACGGGCCATCATTTGTTGCATCGTTGAGATATATACAACAAAAATGTTATACGTCACTACGGCGCATTGATACATATTCAAGAATTATGAAGGCTAACGTGTATGCAAGAATAACATGGCTAGATATTACATAGAAAGTTTATAGCCTAAATATGTAACTTGATGGTCAACAAAAATGAATTAAAGTAGAAGATTTATAAAGTCACAGCTAAGGTATTAAGTTAAATCTAAGATGACGATTTGGATTAAGGCGGTAAACGAGCCAAGTTTGAGTGAGCTCAGGCTTGATTCATGTTTGACTTGTTCGAAGTTAGCTTGTGTTCGAAATTGCTCGTAAACGATGTGTTCGTATCCGACTTTATTTACATATTCTTGGTCGTCTTCGGCTCGAAATTGACTCTTTTAAATTAATTAGAACAATAGATGTAGAATATTGGATTCGAACCAATACCATTCTTATGAAACAAAAAACGCAGACCCATATGATCACAATTGTTGTGGTGATTTAAACTTAGATATAAATATATATAATATATTATTATATAAATAACATATATAATTACCTTATTTCAATCTAAAAAGAGTTGAGCATGATTTAACAAAAGGTCGTTTGTATTTAGCTTGCTTAGTTAACAAGAGATTCAAACACAAGTTATTTAACAAGCTGTTCTTGAACAATGAGCCGTGATCTGTTGGTAGAGCAGTCTCTTTAAAGGTAGTAAGTCTCCCCAGGTCACGGGTTCGAATCCCTCAGTGTGTAGGAATTGGTACTCGAATATTTAACACAAATAGAGATAGTCGGGGCTCGTTTAATAGCCTCAGACCATTCCTTATATATATATAAGATTTGAATAAGTCGCTCCACATTAGACTCCTCGGTCAGTTGAAATAAGAACTATTCTAACCAAACATTCTGAGATACTATATTTTAATCAGTCACCACGAGTTTTAGCAGTATTAAGCTAATACATCATGCAAAAAATGCACAATAAATTTAGGAGCAACGTCTCACAGCCATAAGGCCTATGTACTTTGATATTTATCAGACAGTTGGCTAATCTTACGCCCTTTCAGACTATATAGTTTGAAAAAATGTTTAAAATTTATTTACATCATACTAAAGATACGTTCATCAGTAATTTATTTACTTTGGTATCGCTTTTACAATAAGAATTCTAGACATAAATGCAAGAGAAAAAGCATCATATAAACACAGATCGAGAATCAGACTGCAAACCTTGGAGATTCCCGGCGGAAAATATGCTTAATCCTCACCTGAACCACTCCACAGACCCTCTGCACCTCTCCAGCAAGCTTCGCCAGCTGCTCGATTCCCATCTTCTTCTCCGATACCACCACCAAATCCGCCCCCCCCCCCCCCCCCCGCCGCTAAAGTCGTCTCTCTCCAAAGTCTCTCGAATTCCTCTAAAACATCTGCAACCTCCCGCACCCCTCTCTTCTTCGCAACCACCATCCTCACCAGCGCCACCAACCGCCGATCGAACCCCCCGCGATCAACCGTAGCCCGCACCGCCTCCGCTCGCTCCTCATCTGCGATGGAGGAGTCGGCAATGATTGAAACGATGGATGACGCCAGACGATGTACGTCGCGAGCAATGGCGGCTAGGGCTACGGCTCCGCCGCGTTTGGAAATGTCGAAGAGGGCGGCGGCGTAGCCGGTGGATGCGCGATGGTGAGTCCGTCCGGTGAGGGTGGTGGAAGGTGGAGATGGGGTTGAGAAGAAGGGGAACAGAGAGAGGGGTTTTGAAGAAGCAGAGAGGGAGAAGGGGGAATTAGGTTTGGGGGAAGAAAGATTTGGGAATGAAGAAGAAGGAGGAGGTGGTTTGAGGAGGTGTGGGGTTTCGCGATGATTTGAAGGAAGGAAGAGAGCGGAGACTGGAGATGCGAGAACGTCCATTGAAAGAGTGAGAGAGGAGTGGAGGAGGATACTTGGGTTTGGATGGAGGGATAAGGCCATATTTATAGCTTGAAGAAGAGGGGGAGAGATGCGTGGCTTGCAGCCGCCCGAAGCTTGGAATTTCATTAGTGAATCAAAAGAATACGATGTCAGTGTCGAATATCAAAAACTTGAGTCATGCAGCGTATAAATGGGTGAAATATTTGCGTACATAAGATGTACGCAGCGCTGCGTACATCAGAGGTTATTCTGGAGGTACAGGGGAGTTATATTCGGGTTATACCGGAGGTTACAAGGGGTATAATCCAGATAAAACCCCATTGTACCCCCTGAATAACCCCTGATGTACGCAGCGCTGCGTACATCTTATGTACGCAAATATTTCTCCATACTGGGGGCAGCTTTTGTGTTTCAGATAAGAGTTTATTCTAAAACATGACCTCCAAGGTCGACTGCGGGGTCGACCTGCATTTAACATAAAAAACATAAACGCGGCAGGCAGCGTTTTCAAAAACGTGCAAACCAAACGGTTAGACGGCGTTTTCAAAAATACCGCCGCACTTATAAACTGCCCCAAACAGGCCCTGAAGGACAAAGTTGATTGAGCCCATCGAGAATGCTAAAAGAATCCATCATAGCTCTCCTAAACAACTAAACCAACACTTGAACCTGAGAATACCTCCATGACCCTAAGAGTCGTCTAGTTGAATCTAGGCTCACCAGGCATAGCAAAAGCAACTTCTAGAAGAGATTCAGCTACACTCAAGACAATTTAAAGATTTAGGTTAGGAGAAGAACTTATATACAAACGACAACTCGAGTGAGAGTTTTTTCTTGGTTAAGGAGAATGCATATAGTTTTTTAAATTATTTTCTTGAGTAGTTTTTAAGTTATGAGATGTAAATATTCAATAAATAAAAAATTAAATTATTTTTGTCTCAAATTGTGTGTCTGATTTTTATTTTTTTATTTATTAGGCAGGTGACTTCATCTTTTTTGAGGAGGTTTGACTTCCAAGCCTACCCTATAAGTAGGGCTCAGTTTATGAAATTTGCAGGTGATCATTTTATAATCTTTTCTTTTGTCGGTTCTCTCAACTTTCTCATGGTGCTCAAATATTCTAAAGAGCTTATTGATATCGTTTCAGCCTAGAAAACTTTTATCTTGTCGGCTCGCCAGGTGGAGAGTCTTTTAGGTTCTTGCATTTACAAAAATATCATGATGTTGAGGTCGATCAGAAGTAACGCTCAGTGACTGAAATTTATTATAGTGACTTAGTTTTTTTAAATAGATCAACTCAAATGTGGGCTTTGATTGTCGTTTTGTCGAGAGTTGCAGGTGATCCTTAACCAATTTGTCGTCATTCTTGCACAAGTGATTTCGAACTCCATTGATGCCGCAATGACTTTTGTGGCCTTTCTTTGGCAATTTTGCATCACATGATCGGTCGACCTTTTCTCTTACTTTTAACTTTAAGATCAGTCGAGACGGCTACTCCATGTTCTCCATGGGTACAAACCTTCACCTCATGGGAGTAGAAAACAAAATCAAAGACCGAAAGAGGAAGTTCTTGGTAGGCTCTTATCAAGGAGAATGGTGGTTGGCGTTCGAACTGTCGCGTGCTCCCCGAAAAAGATGAAGCAACTACCCAACTTCTTGTGAGATTATAGGCATATTATCGAGGGCCAAGAGTTGTTGCTGCTCCAGTACCTGAATGCTGATGTTTTGAACATGTCCCCGTAGAGTGGGAAATTGAGCACCATGATTGACAGATTATGAGAAGCCTCTGATGCCGTGAGGCCAAGCAAAGGTCGCAGAGGTTAGAGGCTACTATCAAGGTGGCTGAGAAGAAACTGAGGGCAAAAGTTGCCCAATCATAGTCGGTTGCTGCCACCTGCTCGCAGCCATTGCTAATTCCCTCTCATGCTGGAGTAACAGGTAATTTGTTCATTTTCTACCATCAAAATAACTTAACTAAATTCATTTTTGGAGAGTAAAGATTGACCGTGTGGTTTTTTCGACTGATTCAGGAGCCTCTGGAGTTCATCAGGAAGAATCCATCTAAAGAATCTCATTTTCTTCCAGAGAGGAGGTTGACCTTGATCGATGATGATAAAGAAACCTGACCGCTGAACATCTCCTATATAGACACTTAGTCAAGAGGTGAGGTGGGTCACCCCTTGCTCATGCAGTTGGATTCGGGTTCAGAGGTTGATGGCGATGTTGATATTGATGATGAGACGTAGTCTGATCAATTATAGGGTGATACTCTGCACTGAGAGGCGAAGACCCTCATTGAAGATGTATCTTTGCCCCCTCCCCCTTGACAGAAATGAAAGGTTCTCCCCTTGGTGGGTTTCATCCATGGGTAAGAGCTCTAATGTTTGGTCAAGTTTTGCAAGATGTTTTTCCCTAGTGACATTGAGAGAGACTGGTATATGGATAAGCTAGTGGCAATGAACTACCTCTGGCTCTTAGCAGAGGTCATTCGATCTGACTCCTTTGAGCAACAACTGAAGAGTTTGAAGGGAGTGGACTTCAACTAGACCAGGAACTAATTACATTTAATGACATAGTCAGCTACGCACTACTGAACCAAAGGTCATTGTTGAAGGGAAGATAAGAAGGTGACCGCCGAGAAGCTGATGATCAAAGTGATCGCCTAATGGAGGGAGGTTGAGAAAAGAGCCATCCAAACAGAGAAGCTATTAAAGTTCCACACCGAGAGTCAGATAAAGAAAAATAAGGAATACAAAGAAACCATCACAACCTAGAGGAGGAGAACAAAAAGCTAAAGATGGTGAGCAAGTTAGAGGTCTCTCCCAACAGCTTCGGGTAGGCATATCCTTGACCGCCCGTAGTTTAGTAAAAGAGGGTCGATTGACCCAAAGTGGCCAACCTAGAGCAGTTGTCCAACATTCTTTCTAACCCGACATAATACAATGAGAAATATATCGGAGCGGGCGGAGGAGATGTTAGTGTTGGCCGGTTGACTACTCTTTTGTTTCTTTCTTTCTATTTTTTTTGTTTGATCCTGTAAAACTTAAAAAAGATTTTTAATTGTTTTGAGTGGTCTCGACCGACATTTATTGTAAAGGGGTCGACAAAATGAAACTTGTAAAAATTTTTCATATCAAATGAAGGAATTATTTTGGTTCTTTTACATGTTGTTTTTAACTTATGTTCCTTTTTATTTTCCTTTATTTTCCTTTTACATGTTGTTTGTTAGAAGCATGACAACCAACAAAATATTTGGATGCGATATTATTACCATATATGGTTTATGTTGTCTACTCAATCCATAACTTACCCTTTTCTCCCACCCCCTTCACTAGACTAAGCAAGTGCCTTGGTCGGCCCATACATTTTGCTAGGTGGGGATTTTGTTGCTATCTTCATGGGGTAACCAATGAAACTTGTCGCCATAGTGAATTACACACTACTCAGTGCAAATCTTGTCGCTAAGAAGTAGAGAACCACCTTTGGGACTATGCGTTTGCCAAGCTAGAGAGTAGAAATTCTAGTGATTGGCAATGAGCCGACCTTTTTGAGTTTTCTATCAATTGGATATCTTATGTCGTTGTTGGATTTTAGGTCGTTATTTTGTCGATCATACATCTTGTGTCATTGTCAGATTTTATATGGTTATTTTACCGATTAGACATCTTATGTTATCGGATTTTAGATGGTTGTTTTACTAGTCTGACATCACGTGTCATTGTTGATTTTATCCTGTCATCGGTTCCCTAAGTGTAGTATAGCTCAAAGTCACCGGGGATCACGAGTTCCCCGAGTGCTTAACCATACTTGAAAATTTTGCATAAAATCTTAGTTGAATAATATTTTTATTATTTTCTCTCAATAAATATTACAAGTATATGTAGTGAAACCATCTTGATTGATTTTTTGGCTATAATGAATATTTTGTAAGGAAAAAACGATTTTACATTGTCTCCACTCCAAGTTTATAAGACTCCCTTCCTGGTGTATATCTTTAGTTTGTAGACTCCTGACACTACTCGTCAGTCGATGATGAATGCACCCATTTAGGTTTGGTCGAGTTTGTCGATCTTATGGCCTTGTGCGGTTGGACTGACTTTCCTTAAGACAAGGTCCCCTGAGCTGAAGATTTTCTCCTTAACGAGCTAATTGTAGTAGTTTTCGGTGCGCTTTTTAATTTCTTCCCGTCAAGGCCAATAGTGTTTGACTCTTCTCTGTTAAGTCGAGTGTTAGTGCCACGCCTGTCTGCCTTCTGCTATTCTACTACTGGTTGTGGAGGTTGTACTTGACCTGCAACATGACCTCCATCCCATGCGACAACATGTAAGGAGTTTGACCGGTCGTCGTCGATGGAGTGGTCTGGATGGCCCATAAAGTTGACAGAAGCAAGTTTGCCCGACTATCTTTTGCTCCTTCTAGTTTCTTTCTTAATAAGTTTAAATGATCTTATTAGTAGCTTTAGCTTGGGCATTTGTTTGAGAATGGTTTACAGGGCTATTCTTTTACTGATGCCTTGGCTTTGATAGAAGCCTTTTGCTCTCTGATCAACAAACTATATCCCATTGTCGGTGACGAGTACTATCAGAGGCCTATTGACAAAATAATTTCTGTCAAGATGAAGTTTCAGATGACTTTGTTGTAATTTGAGCAAGCGTATTGGCTTCAATTCACTTCAAAATGTAGTCCACAGTGACTAGGAGGAATTTGCACAAAGGTGGAAAATGGCTCGAGTATGCTAAGTCCTTATACAATGAGGGGCCAAAGACTAATAATCAACTGCAACTTGTGAGCCGGCTGGTGTTGCAAGGGGTATACTTTGGCACTGCTCACATCTCTTATAAAATTCTTTCACATCCTTCAAGGGTGTGGACCTAAAATAACCCTGTCACTGAATTTTGTGTGTCAATGTCCTCCCTTCGAAGTGAGGCCCGCACTCTCCAGAATGTACTTCTCTTAGGATGTCTTCAGCTTCATTTTGCTTGACACTCCTTAAATAGATTGAGGTCGTGAATTTTCTAAAAAGGGTCCTACCAATCATGAGGTACTGCGCGGACTTAAATTTAAATCTCATTAGATAAGTGATTTCTTCAACAAATTTTTTTGGTTTCTACGCATAAGGCGTAAGGGTTTACTTAGCTCTTTGTTCCTTCAAATTGTACTTCCATCATCTTATGTTCCTCAATAGTTGGCAGAACAAACTTCTGGGGGTCCCTTCCCCCAAGTGAATGCATCTAGATAGGAGATCATCAACTTGATTATCCTCCTGACTGACATGTTAAATTTTAAAGTTGTTGAATTTCTAAATTTCCATTTTAACTTTGCTGAGGTATTTTTTCATCGTTTCATCTCTAGTTTACTCCATATTCACTTGGTTCACCACCAGCTGCAAATCATATTTTACTATGAGGTGTCGAATGCATATTTCATAAGCCAAACACAAGTAAACTATTAAAGCTTTGAACTCAGCCTGATTATTAGTAACTCCAAATTTGAGACAACTTAATGGTAGAAGTATTCTCTACTGGGATTACTTAGCACCAGTCTAAATCTAGCTCCTGCATGGCTAGAGGCCCCAGTGATGTGAAAAACCTATGTTTGGTTACCGATGTCAACCTCATCATATCTAGGTTGTGTGGATGTGGTGGTATGTGGTTTGGATGTGGTGGTGTGGTGTGCAGGTGGTGATGATAGTGCTGGTGATGAGGCAAGGTGATGTGTAGATAGATATGGTGGCTGTGGTTGTGATGTTATGATGGTGTTACAGATGTTACTGTTTTTTTTTTTTTTAATCTCCCTTGAACTTATGTTGTCTAGTTCTTTATATGCTAATTTTCATAATGGTCATATGATTTTTTAGGCATGTGAAAATTATGGTGTTGTTGGTGATACTGAAATATGGAGCTCTATTCTCTATTTGGTGATGCCAAGATATGGTGCTCTGGTTAGTGGTCGAGGTGATTTTGTGGTTGATTTTTTGATTATGTTATTGGTGGTGTTTGATGTGTTATGTTGTTGGTGTGCTATGATTTTGGTGGTATTTAGTTTGGTGTGAAAATGTGGTTTTGATCATGTGGTGGTAGGTGATGTGGATGTGGTGGTGTGGTGTGATGTGTTATTGATGTTATTTGTGGGTGGTGTAGAGGTGATAGTGTGGTGCGGAGGTGGTGTTTTGGTGTGCTCCTGGCGTTGGTGTTTTGGTGACATGGTGGTGGTGTGCTATTGATGTTGGTGGTAGGTAGTGTAGAGGCGATGGTGTGGTTTGGTGTGCTATGGATGTTGGTTGTAGGTGGTGTGGAGGTGTTGTTGTCTAGTATGGAGGTGGTGGTGTGGTGCTGGTGTTTGTGTTTTGGTGATATGATGGTGGTGTGTGGCTTGAAGAAGGTGGTGTGGTGTTGGTGTTGGTGTTTTGGTGATATAGTGGTGGTGTGTTATCGATGTTGGTGGAAGGTGGTGTGGTGTTGGTGTTTAGGTGATATGGTGGTGGTGTGTTGTTGATGTTGATGGTAGGTGTTGTGGAGGTAGTGGTGTGTGGTTTGGAGATGGAGGTGTGTTGTTGGTGTTGGCGTTTTAGTAATATAGTGGTGATGTGTTATTGATGTTGATGGTAGGTGGTGTGGTGGTGGTGGTGGCGTGGTGTGTTAGGTTTGGAGTTGGTGGTGTGTGGTGTGGATGTAATGGTGTGGTGTGGAGGTGGTGATGATAATGATGGTGATGAGGTGGTGTCATGTGTTTATAGATATAGTGGTGGTGGTGGTGATGCGGTGGTGGTGTTGTAGAAATCTCTGTTTTTATTTTTTTTAATCTCTCATGCATTTATGTTGTTTAGTTCTTTGCATGTTATTTTTTGTAGTGGGTAAGACAAAAGAAATCGGTTTGACAGCTGCATGGGATAAAGAGATGACATTGATATTTTGTGACCTCTATGTCAAAGGAGTTTAGTTGGGAAACATACCAACCACCTATTTTAACAAAAAATGTTGGCATAAAATGATAAAAAAATTTAAGGAAAGCACATGAAAAGATTATAATATAATGCAATTTAAAATGATATTATCATATTATCAATCAGTATTTTAATAATCATTTTTTAATATTGGTTATTGTATTACTGTTTAGTGAGATATCCATTTTTATTTTGTAATGTTGGAACTCGATATTTATTTTTTAAGTATGGATTGTGCTAGCAAGATTAATTTTGTTATAAACGACATTATGGTACAGAAGCAAAATGTCATCTGTTTAGAAATAGTTGAAACACAACTATTTCAAAACTGTAAAAAACAAACAGATAGTCAGTTTATCCATAATAGTTTTCAACAACAGTTGTTACGCAACTTTTAAATAAGCTGCAGCTGCCTCAAACAGACCCTCCTTAAATCTATTTATAGAGTCTGGGAATGCTTCCTCTGCAAATAAGAAATTCAGATCACTCGATCGAATAACCCAAAGAAATTCTCATGATCAAACGACATTTTATGGACATTTAAGTGCCTTCATGATGTCAAAATTGAGCGATTTTGGGCTCATTGGATTCGTCTCACCAAGTTGCTCGAGTTGAATTTGTTATATTTGGAATCCATTTGACCAATTAGTTGCCCAAAACTTTTAAAATTAGTTTAACGACTTCATCCGATCTTCATATGACTTGGTTTAAGATAATTTTGGTGTCTTAGACTTGTATCGTAGAGTCGGTCAATTTGGTTGTAAGTTTGCTAAAATTAAATTTATGAATGATTTTTAATTTGAGTTTAAATGTTTTTTTGCTTCAAAAATATCTTGAGATTCATGTCAAATCGCAAAATTTGCTAATAGCATATCGTATACATCTTCACAGGTTGTAGTTTACATACAAGCCATCTAATTCTAATATGATTACAAAATATTGTACGGTCTTCATAATACCAGTTTCTGAATGTTTGTAGAACCTGAAAAATACCACTATATTAGGGCTTCTATAGGATCAATTTATTTTTATTTTTATTCTTTAAATATATTTTCTTAGTGTGTTTCTACATGTTTTTATTTTTTATTTTTTTTACTTTTAAAAATAAATAAACATATTTCTAAAAACATTCAAAATAACTTTTAGGTGTATTGAGTGTTTTCAAAAACAATTATATCTTAATCATACCAAACATTATTTCAGATCAAAACATAACAAAAATAAATAAATAAATATTATCCCAAACACCCCTTTAATTTTTAAAATGTGAAATAAACCTTTTCAAGATATTCTATATAT